GAGGGACATGAGGGCCAAAAAGAGCGGGGATCCAGGTGGGAAAAGGGTCCCAGCGTTCTCGCGCACCTCGCTCTGCTAGCTGCTCCATCTTCACACGTCGTTTTTCACAATGGCGGTCAGACAAAGAAAACAAGCCGGTAAGGAACCAGACAGGAAATACGCATAGAGTAGAGCGGATGTAGATTTGACCAATCAGAGGCCTCCTTTCTACGGTTACAGTTATGGAGAGGGGCACCAGGGTGTCTGTGGAGGTGGGGCATATCTGCGTTAACTGCGACATATATCAGCCTTTAGAAAGCAGCACTTTCCTTCCAGACTGACAATGATTGTTTTCTACTTTTGGCTACTTCCGATCACAGATGAAATGTAAAATAAGAGCAAATATAGGTTATAATATGATGAGACTCCAAAAGAGATTTGATCCTTAAGAAATGTGTGGAATACAGTTTGTCTGAGTGGAGTTGCCACATGTTGACGTAATAAAAAGGGGCGGGGCCCTGAGCAGATCTGGTAGCTACAGCTGACCTTTCTGGGCTGATTCTAGATGGTAAAGATAAGACCTGTTGTCTGGGTGACCTCAGTGCTTCTGGGTCCGGTTCTCTGAGGTAGACTCTGCGTTTTCTGCTCTGTCGGTTCTGATCGTCCTGCTGCCTGTCGGACCTTTACTTGGTTATTTGTTCTTTGAAATGGGTCAAACAAATGTGTCCGTTTTAAGCAGAGAGGTTTACAGAACTTCCTTTCCATTCTCTGTAAATCCTGGCACAGTCCGGGTCAGAAAGCCCGGTTTCAAACGTTGGTTTCCTGCAGCTACTTCCTGTGTTTTATTCCTGCTGATTCTATCGGTGTTTGGGTCCGGCTCAGTCGGCGGCTCTAAAACCAAAGCTGTTTCTGTCTGCAGCTGCTGCTCAGGCCGATGATGCGGCAGAGAGATGGAGGCGCCTGAGTACCTGGACCTGGATGAGATCGACTTCTCCGACGATTCGGTGGTCAGTATGGAAGTCCAAACACTGAACCGGGCTTGGAGCTGCTTTACTGGATCAGCTGATGAGGTCTCTTTTGTCCACGGACCACATGGTGGTTAAATACAGCCTGGTCTCTGTGTTCCAGTATTCTGTCACATCTCTGAAGAACATTCCAGAACTGTCCAGAAGGAGCGATGGCCCAGCAGAGGAGAGACCCGGTGAGAATCTCTGTTTTTCCTTTCAAGGAGCCAGAATCTCCTTTAAAATTGGTTTTGATCAGTTTAAGATCTTTAGCTTCTTCTTTGCTCCTTCACTGTCCCAGTTTCCGATTATTTCTGAGGAAATGTTTCCATCCAGGTTGTTTAATTAACTCTGACCTATGAATCATTCTGGTGAGAAAAAAAAAAAGCTCCTAAGCCCAAAAAGTGACCAGCTTTAGCATTTTGAAGCTAATGTTTAGCAAAGAGCCCAATCTGAAGCAGAGCTTCCTGCCACAAAGATGCAAAACCTTCACATTTAAATCCCTCAGTTTAGACCAGAGGTCTGCAACCTTTCAAATCCAAAGAGGCATTTTGCTCCGAGTCTGGCTAATTAAGTCATTTAATATTACCTGACTTTTTAATAAAACACAGCGTGTTATATTAGTTAAATATCTGCTGTAGGAAATCTGCTGCTATCTAAAACAACCAACATCTTATTGGTATTTTTAGCTTTTAATAAAGGAAAAATTATTCATAAGGGTGAAACATGGATCTTTCTTCTATTTGATATTATTTGATGTAATATATATATATATAT